GTGTCTGGGGGCAGTGTGTGAATGTGTATGGTGTGTATGGGGCAGTGTGTGTATGGAGGAGCAGTGTGTGAATGTGTGGTGAGGAGTAGAGTTGAGCGAACACCTGGATGTTCGGGTTCACCAAGTTCAGACGAACTTTGTAAAAAAGTTTGAGTTCGGCTCGAACTTGACCCCGAGCTTGACCCCGAGCTTGACCCCGAACTCGAAACCCATTGAAGTCAATGGGGACCCGAACTTTTGGGCACTAAAATGCCTCTAAAAAAGTCCAGGAAAGGGCTAGAGGGCTGCAAAAGGAAGCAAAATGGGGGTAAGAGTAGGACAAGTGTCCTGCAAACAAATGTGGATAGGGAAATCACTTAAAATAACATAAAATAACATAAATTTCCACAGTATTAGGGAGCTATCTACCAAAAGGCTGAAAGACCTAAATTGGTCTTTCAGCCACATTTACTAATACTAAGTAAAGAATACTTAGTATTAGTAAATTCAGCCCCTACTCGCTATACCACAAGTAGGGGTGTGTCTAGTAAACAGTGAGCAGTCAGTGGCTGCTCGCTGTAAAAAAAAAAAACAACAAAAAAAAACCTATTCGCCCTCACTCCTAAACGGCGGGTGGGGGCCCTAAAGTAAAATAAGGTGGGGTGACCTATTGTCCTTCCCCCCAGCCCCGACCCCTGATTGGTGGGTGGGGGCCCCAAAGAACAATGAGGGGGGACCTACTGTCCTCCCCCCGGCTCCTACCCCTGCGTGGTGGGTAGGGGTCCTAAATAACAATGGGGGGAACTACTGTCTTTCCCCCCCCGGCCCCCACCCCTGTGTAAAATACCAATTAGGGGGGACCTAATGTCCTCCCTCCTGGCCCCCACCCCTGAGTGGTGGGTGGGGGCCCTAAATAAAAATTGGGGGGGTGGGGGCCCTAAATAAAAATTGCTATGGTAGCCGCGGCAACGCTCCTTGCTCGCGAGAGAAGGGCCCGGAAAAGCTGCAGGCTAAGCTCCCTGGTCTTCTCTCCCTCCCCTGCCGGGTGCCAGCAATGTGCCTGCGGACCAGGGAGGGAGATCTCTGATCACCCCTCTGGTCCGAGAATGCACATTGCAGGGCTGGTGCTTGGACAGTGCCAGCCCTGCATTAGCCAGCAGGGGAGGGGAAATAGCCCCCCCCCTTTCCCCGGATACGCCAGTACAGCCACAGGGAGGAAGTGACGGATGGGAAGAGAAGAATATAAAGGAAACAAAGTGGGAGCTCTGACTCCCATCAGCCTGAGCCAGCCACTGGACTCCAGGGAAGCCACCCTCCTGAACTTAGAAGGTAGGAAACAGGAGGGTGACTAAAAATATTTATATTTTGCATGTGTGTGTATCTGTATGTCTATTTGTGTATCTGTATGTATGTCAGTATATCTGTGTGTCCATCTGTTTGCTCTTGTCACGGTTCTCCACGTGCCATCCAGACGGCCAGGCGTGGTAGCCCCACAGGGGCCAGACAGGGGATATGAACCTGGGTCCTTGCTGTGTTCCTGCCTCTGAGCCACTTCAGAACTTTGGATCTAGCCTTGTGTATGAGGCATTGCCTTCAGCACTACGGGGCTGGACTTCACCAGTGGCTCACACCTGTAAATCTAAGACCGCCTGAGGCAGATGGATCATTATCCAAGGTATATAGCATTGCCTCTCCCTGAGGGCAGTGTCAGTTTGTTGTATTCTGTTTCCTGAGACTGATTTGGCTTGTGACCCTTTCTTTTTGGATTATTCGTTATTGCCTGTTCATTGTCTGCCCTGACTTTTGGAACCATGTCTAACTACTCTTTTGGATTTGGCCTTGTCTGTTTCCACATACCCAGTTACTGTTCCTGCCTAAGCCCCCATACACAGATTCACAGTCCATGTGTTTTCTAACCTTATCACCTCGGAATATGTATATCTACATGGGTGAGCATAAATCTCTGCCTACCGGACTCCCACCTCAGGCAAGACCCTGACAGTTATTCTGTGTATCTGAATATTTGCCTATGTGTGTATGTGTCTGTTTATCTGTATGTGTGTCAGTATTTGTATCTGTAAGAGTTTAATTTTGTATATCTGAATGTATGTCATTCTGTGTGTCTGTGTATCTACATGTGTGTTAAGTTGTGTCTGTATATTTTCGTGTGTATATCTCTGTGTCTTTATCTGTATGTGTGTCTGTGTATCAGCAAGTGTATCCGTGTATGTATCTGTATGTGTTATAGGGTTTTTGTCTGAATGTGTCAGTGTGTTTGTCTGTTTATCTGCATGCGTGTCAGTGTGTGTCTGTGTATCTGACACCCCCACATACACTGTCAACCCACCACAAACACTCTTGCTCCTCTTCACCCTGTCACACTCACAATAACTCCCCCAATCCTGTCATTCATCCATGCCATACTCATCTCTGATTGCTCTGCCATACTCACCCAATCACACTGACCTTCTCTTGCACTGTCACAGTCACCCCCCAATCCTGTCACACTCATTCTCCATCACTCTGTCACATTTGTCCCTTTCATCCTGCCACACTCACCCTATCACATTAACCCCTCCAATTCTATCATACTCATCCCCCCAACCATGCCACACTCACCCTGTGGGGCGTGAATGAGACATATGGAGGAGCATGGGGGCATTAATGTGACACATGGAGGGGCCTGGTAAGTGGGAAATGAGAGGTGTGGGTTGCTAGTTACGCCTCTGCTGGCATACATGGAGCCACAGTTCCCTTTCTGCTCCCTTTTCCTAACCTGCCGTGTTTCTCCAATTCTAGAGTTGTTTGTGCCATCAGGAAGCACAACAGTTATTTCAGGTTAAATGTTTCATAAGTAAAAGGCTGATAAGAGATCTGCAAATGCTCTGGCCATAAAATGCTGCTGTGTAGAGATGTATGTAATAAAATTCAGTGCCAGCTATTTGAAATGTAGCGCTTGATAATTTATTTTCGAATGCAACAACTTTGGGAGAAGGGGTTGGTGGGGGGAGGAGGGTGCAGAGGGCAATTGCCCCCTGGACTACTTCACTGCAAATAATAAAATGTAATTTTCAACACTAATTTTACAGTAATTGTGTGTTATTGCATTCTAGTCCCCCTTGAATGGTTTATTTAACCATTTTGAGAAAGGAAAATAGAAAGATTATACTCAACTTGCAACCAGCTGCAAGCGATGCTCCTGGTGCTGATCTTCCGTGCCCCCTTTTACATCACAGAGGCTACACATAGTCCAATCACAGACTTCTTATGGAGATAGGATGAAGAACAATGTGGGAAGGTGGGAAGGGAGAGATAGCTTTACTTTTCAAACGCCCTGCCGGCAAGGAGAAGATTTTAATGTCTGTCAGCAGCATGCAGTGCACGCTAATGACAGACTTTTTTATGCACAGAATTGACATTAGGCAGCCCGGAACAGAGTTCTGGACTGCCAATGTCACATGTTTTGGGGGTACAACAAGCACCCAGCATACAAGTGCAAATATCTCTATGTGCACTGGTTTAAACTGAAACAATGCACAGACTGACTCTTACCACCATGACTATTCCAAATCACTGAAGTGGTCATGGTGGTTGAAGTAACCCTTTAAAAATAATATAATATTTTAAAGAGAGTAGAATAAAGTGGGATAGTGTGCTGGCTTTGTCTCAGATTGTGCTATTTGTTTGTAATTGTTCTCTAGACCAAAAGTAACCAGGCCCCTCCTGCTTTTCATCTTATACCAATTTTGATTAGTTATATTTGCATATTTAAAACTCCTTCAGCCTCTTACCTTTCTCCAGTGCTGGGCTCCTTCTGTGCTGGGAAACTCTCCACCCCCTGCCGATGTCAGATCTGAATGCACAGGCCCGGCACGCATTCAAACAGCCCATATGAAAGCATTACTCAATGCTTTCCTATGGATGTCCAGTGTCTTCTCACTTGATTAATCCTCAGTGTAAACATAGCAGTTTCTCTTAAACTGCTATGTTTTCAGCTGCAGGGTTAAGACTAGAGGGACCTGGCACCCAGACCACTTCATTGAGCTGAAGTGGTCTGGGTGCCTATAGTGATCCTTTAAGGTTACATCCACTGGCGTACATACTGCTGTCACAGGGGTCGCAGCTGCCACCGGGCCCGTCACTCCAGGGGGGCCAACCGCCCTGTGTACCCCTACGACCGGGTGCCTGCCATCATCATTTGAGACCCGGCTCACGTGGCAAACCGCCGGGGCCGCATGTTAAGGTGCCCATCGGGTGACCATGCTGTTAGGGCCACCCTATGGAGATGGATTGTCAGGGGTCCAGGTCAGCCTTGGGCGCTTTAACAGCGTGACTGGGCCCCCTGTGATGAAATCATCTCTGCTGGGAGGAAGTGTCTGCACGCCATTCCTCCCAGCTAACACACACAGAGCCCAACCGGGAGGAAACTGAGGGAGTCACAGTGGGAACTCTGACTCCCATCAACCTGAGCCACCACTGGACCCGAGGGAAAGTCCCCCTCCTGCACTAAAAGGTAGGAAACAGGAGGGTGACTTAAATATTACGTGTGTGTGTTTGTTTGTTTGTATGTGTGTGTCTATCTGTCTGTATGTATGTGTGCCTGTCTGTTTGTATGTATGTCTTGTGTGTGTGTCTGTCTGTATGTGTCTGTCTATCTGTCTATATGCATGTGTGCCTGTCTGTTTGTATGTGTAAAACACTAAAAAGCACAACCTAAAAAGTACAAAGGGAGACCAATAGTGCAGACTGAAAAATAAAAAAACATACCATAAAAGAAAACTAAAATGCACTCACAAACAAAGATGTTAATAGGCAGGGTATAGTCAGTCTTCTTGAAATGCTTTGTCTCTTCTTAGTGTAGAGATAAATGCTTAAAACAAAGCATAAAGACAGACCATAGTGTATAACTGTATAGTATTAAAAATGTAGCTTTATTGGATACACTTACAAAGTAACAGTAGTAATCGGGCTCTTCAAATCAAACTCAATGTATTCCACCAAAACAAAATATAACCCTCAGGATATAGAGAAGAATGGAGACAGGGGAGATGAAGAGATCCTCAATAAAAATATTAATACAAACAAAGCTTGCCACCCTACGCGTTTCATCTTATTGACTTCATCAGGGACTTGTAGCAACAATATAGGTATATTGTTGCTACAAGCCCCTGATGAAGTCAATAATATAGGTATATTGTTGCTACAAGCCCCTGATGAAGTCAATAATATAGGTATATTGTTGCTACAAGCCCCTGATGAAGTCAATAAGACGAAACGCGTAGGGTGGCAAGCTTTGTTTGTATTAATATTTTTATTGAGGATCTCTTCATCTCCCCTGTCTCCATTCTTCTCTATATCCTGAGGGTTATATTTTGTTTTGGTGGAAGACATTGAGTTTGATTTGAAGAGCCCGATTACTACTGTTACTTTGTAAGTGTATCCAATAAAGCTACATTTTTAATTCTATACAGTTATACACTATGGTCTGTCTTTATGCTTTGTTTTAAGCATTTATCTCTACACTAAGAAGAGACAAAGCATTTCAAGAAGACTGACTATACCCTGCCTATTAACATCTTTGTTTGTGAGTGCATTTTAGTTTTCTTTTATGGTATGTTTTTTTTATTTTTCAGTCTGCACTATTGGTCTCCCTTTGAACTTTTTAGGTTGTGCTTTTTAGTGTTTTATATTTATGATATTGAAGACATTGAGGAGTCTTTGCACCTCCTAATTTGGGGTATTTATATTTTATATCTTTTCCCCCGTTTGATAGCCACAAGGGTTGCTTTGCATTGTTTGCAAATCACTATATTCTGTTTGTATGTGTGCCTTGTGTTTGTGTGTGTGTGTGTGTCTGGATGTATGTGTCTTTGTATGTATGTGTGTGTCTGTATGTGTGTGTCTGTATGTATGTATGTGTGCCTGTCTGTTTTTATATATGTATGTGTCTTTGTATGTATGTGTGTATCTGTCTGTGTGTGTGTGTGTGTGTCTGTATGTATGTATGTATGTATGTGAGCCTGTCTGTCTGTTTGTATGTATGTTTGTCGTATGCATGTGTGTGTGCCTGTCTGTTTTTATGTGTGTATGTGTGCCTGTCTGTATGTATGTGTGTTTTGTCTGTATGTATGTGTGCCTGTCTATTTGTATGTATGTATGTTTGTCATATGTGTGTGTGTCTGTCTGTATGTATGTGTGTGTGCCTGTCTGTTTTTATGTATGTATGTATGTATGTATGTGTGCCTGTCTGTCTGTCCATATGTATGTATGTATGTGTGTCTTGTCTGTATGTATATGTGCCCGTCTGTCTGTTTGTATGTATGTGTTGTGTGTGTATGTATGTGTCTGTATGTATCTGTCTGTCTGTATGTGTCTGTCTGTCTGTGTGTGTGTGTGTGTGTGTGTGTCTCTGTATGTATGTGTGTGTCTCTCTGTATGTGTCTGTCAGGGGGACTTAGAGGGAGAGGAGGGAGGGAGGGAGGGGGGGCCATGGATCAGTTTCGCACCGGGCCCCCATGGGTTATGTGTATGCCACTAGTTACATCCTATGATAGATAGATAGATAGATAGATAGTCTTATTACCTTCCTCAACCAGGGACTTGTTTGTTTATTAATATTACTTTTTTTATTATCCTTAAATAACTCATATATTGGTTTTACTGTAATATCATGTACTGTAATACAAATTTTTAAAAAAGGATCAATTCTAGCTTGGAGTGTCCCTTTAGTAAGGTATTGCAAGAGTGAATCTAAAACTCATAAACAGTTTTTTCAATGGCATTTTAGGTAAATTGGTTATTAATTATTTATTTCTATAGATAGAAAACTCTAATCTATTACTGTATGTAATGTCTGTAGATAATGTGTTTAAATAGTAAGGTGTCATGTGCTGGTCATGAATCGACTTATGAAAGCTACGTCAACAAACATTGCAGGTAAAATATATATATAAAATACCAACACTGCTATACTGGAGATAATTTTCCAATGTAATTATGTCAGCCAAAGGTTTGCAATTCAGCAGTAATTCTTAAATGAATAGAAATACAACTCAACTTTCTATTCACTGTAGAGTATTATTAACGATAACTGCATTGCTTAATATACTGTTTATTAAAAAATAGGCACACAAGCCTGGATCTATCAGAAATGAAATTTTCACTCTTACGCGTCACGTGGCCTAACATTTTAACATTTTAAGATTTTTAAGGAATTAAAAAATGAATTGTAAAATTTAGACAAAAATAGCTGACTTGTAAAACCTCTCCTGTACTCACATCTTTGCTCTTTAGTAAATAACCCTCTAAATTGAGAGCTTTATTTACTGAACAATTAATTATCATGAGCTGATACAAATTATTGCAAAGGCACTTACATTTTTACTCAGCCCTTGCACGGGTACTGAGTGACAAAACATTAAACTCTTAAAACTACAAACACAAAATTATTAACATTCAAAGAAATGGTTGGAAGTTGAATAATTTGAATAAAAATGCTAGCCACGCCATTTATGTACCATGAACATTAAATGTACGCATGTTTGCGTTCGATCCATGTACCCTGTGAGTATATCGAAAAGGGTTAAAATTAGCCATTGTGTTAAATTATAAAAAAAAATATATATATATTACTCTTTTCTTTGAACTTACCATTGTGATCTGCATATCCCCACCGGTTCATTTTTCCACAAATTGCACGCTAGTTTTTAATAACTAGTTTTCAAAAAGTGTCTCGGTAAATTGCAGCACTAAATACACAACAATTTTTTTTTCCTGACTGTAATGTTTTTACAGCCTAGCGTTAGCTACATTCCATTCTAAATTAGTCAGAATTCAATATTAAACTACTTGTATCCTTGCACAAGATGCAGGTTTTCTTTCCCAATAGGTAAGGTGAAGTGGTTTGCACAGTACTGCATAACCCTAGATAATAATGTCAGCAAGTCCTGCCCATTTTTTTTTTGTTATCAAATGTCAATAGAAAGGCTGGAAAGCTCACAGACTTAAAGACGCAATGCTTGTTACAGAAGTAAGTTAATGCCAATCACATGTCCATGGGTCGGCTTATGGTATGAGCTAACACACAGTAAATCTATGTCGACAGATTATAAACATTATCAAATCAATGCACTAAATTATAGGAAAAGGGAGATAATGAATGTTGTAATAATTGTAAAACTGAATTGATTTTTTTTTTCCATTTTCCATGTTGTTTAGTTAACCAACTGTGTTTGCACTTAGTATTTTAATGTTTCTCTTTTGTAGGTAGCGGGATAATTTTTCTTAAACACTAACACTAACTAATTTCTGACAATTTCCATAATTTCATAGGATACAGCAATAAAGGGATATATGTCGGTAAAAATGTGAAGTTCACATGGGTTTGTCACATTCTCAGACACTGAATTTAATAAGCTGATGTTATCCTTGGCTGGACACAGATTTCAAAATAGCAAACAGATTTATTTCTTAGGTGGCTAGTTCTTAATGGGACACTAGCCACCATAACTACTTCAGCTAACTTAAGTGGTTATAATCCTAGAATACCATGACTACTTTCTTTTGTGCTCTGCCTGTGAACTTGTACCCACTTCCTGCAGCACCCCAACAAAGCGCAGTGGAAGATACATTGTGAGTTTACAATTTAGTATTATAATTGTCTATTTAACTGACAATTGCAATTAATTACATAGTTACATAGTTACATAGCTGAAAAGAGACTTGCGTCCATCAAGTTTAGCCTTCCTCACATTTGTGTTTTGCTGTTGATCCAAAAGAAGGCAAAAAAAAACAGTTTGAAGCACAATTTTGCAACAAGCTAGGAAAAAAATTCCTTCTTGACCCTAGAATGGCAGTCAGATGTATCCTTGGATCAAGCAGTTATTACCCTACATTGAAAGATTATATCCTTGAATATTCTGTTTTTGTAAGTATGCATCTAGTAGCTGTTTGAACATCTGCATGGACTCTGATAAAACCACTTCTTCAGGCAGATAATTCCACATCCTGATTGTTCTTACAGTAAAAAAACCTTTCATTTGCCTTAGATGAAATCTTCTTTCTTCCAGTCTAAACGCATTGCCTCGTGTCCTATGTAAAGTCCGGTTTGTGAATAGATTTCCACACAATGGTTTGTATTGGCCCCGAATATATGTATATGTATTTCCACACAATGGTTTGTATTGGCCCTCTCAGGCGACGTTTTTCTAAACTAAATAGGTTTAAATTTGTTAACCTTTCTTCATAGCTGATATGTTCCATTCCTTTTATTAATTTTGTAGCCCGCCTCTGCACTTTTTCTAGTGCCATAATATCCTTCTTTAGAACAGGTGCCCAAAATTGCACAGCATATTCAATATGGGGTCTTACCAGTGATTTATAAAGAGGCAAAATGATATTCTCATCCCGAGAATGAATGCCCTTTTTCATGCATGACAATACCTTACTGACCTTGGCCACTGCTGATTGACATTGCACATTGTTGCATAGTTTGTTGTCTATAACAATTCCCAAGACTTTTTCGTGTGTTGTTATCCCTAATTCGCTAACCACAGAGTGAAGCACAGGAGGGAGGAAGAGAGGAGGAACGCTGACAGGGAGAGAGCCCAACTCCCAACTGCCTCAGACAGCCACTGGACCCCAGGTAGGAAACAAGAGGGTTACTGAAATTGTATATTTTCCATGTGTGTCTGTTTGTGTGTGTATAGCTGTCTGTATGTATGAGTCTTTTTGGGTGTGTGCATCTGACTGTATGTGTATCTGTGTGTCTGAATGTGTGTTTCTGTGTGTATATATGTCTGTATGTGTATATGCATGTGTCTGTTTACCTATATGTGTATGTGTATATGCATGTGTGTCTGTGTAAATGTCTGTGTGTGTATATGCATGTGTCTGTGTGTCTATATGTGTCTCAGTCTTTATGCATATCCGTCTGTACGTGTGTCTGTATGTGTGTCAGTGTATGCCCCTCTGTATCTGTGTGAGTCAATGTTTGCGTCTATATGAGTGTCATCCTGTGTATCTGAATGTTTGTTATTAAGTGTGTCTGTGTATCTGCATGTGTGTCAGTGTGTGCCCCTGTGTATCTGTCTGTGTCTGTGTCTGTATGTGTTAGTGTGTGTCTGTGTAATTGCATTTGTGTCCATGTATGGATCTGCCCTGTGTTTATCTGCATATATGTCAGGGTGTGTTTGTGTGTGTTAGTGTGTGTCTGCATGTTTGTCAGTGAGTGATTGTATCTGTTTATCTGTATCTGTATGTGTATGTGTGCCAGTGTGTATCTATGTGTGCACCTGTGTGTCTGTGTATCTGTCTTTGTATGTCTGTGTATTTAGATGTATGTACCTGTGTATGTGTGTA